AGGCAGAAGGAAAATAATTTCAGAAGAAATAGCTGAGATACAAGAAGAAATGATGATTAAATAAATTAGTAAACATGTGGGCAAGTAAAAGCACATATTCATACTGAAATAAATAATGAAATAATCATATTTAATTAATGGAGTAAAAGTCAAAACCAAGATAACTAATTATTTCACAATACCCTAGAAGATGGGGGTGATCTGAGTTAAAGTATTTAAAGGTGTTTGTATAACTTGAAAGGTAGTGAAAAGTAGAAATAATCTTTATACTTTAATTTGTTTATGCATGTTAAAATTATAAGATAATCCAGAAATAGAGTGTAGAATTTCTATAATAATGCAATAGAGCATAAAATTAAGTTTATACTTATTGGGTAGAATAGAAGCAAAGAGTAAGTATAAGAGAAGCACCAAATACACAGTATATTCATGTCTTTTAACATAAAATAATATGGTTAAAAATATTTCTTGAACTCCTGGACTCAAGTGATCCACCCAGCTTGACCTCCCAAAGTGCTAGGATTACAGGTGTGAGCCACCATGCCTGGCCTAAAAATAATTTCTAATATAGGAATAGTCATAATAAAATTAAAACTAAACTTAACAGTTAAAAACTAAGATTTTCAGATTTGAAAAGAAAGTACTTGTGTAAGAAATTCACCTAAAACTTGAAGATACTGAAAAGATGAAATTTAAAATATAGAAAAATATATAGCAGACAAAAAATTACAAAAAAATAATTAGTATAGACAAAGTAGACTTTAAGACAACAGATGTTATTAGGGATAAAGAGGATAACTATTTAAAGCAGCAGGGTGATAGACTAATTCTAACACTGTATGTACCTACTATTATGTCCTCAAAGTATGTTAAACAAACATAGACAGAACTACAGGGAGAAGTTATTAATATCCATAATAGATAATGGACTTCAGTAAGTTAAGACAAACAAAACAACAAACAACAAAAGAACCAGTTTAAAAATAAGCAAAATATGTGATCAAATTATATGAATATATATTAGAATATATGGTAATTCACTGTGAAGAAACATGAAAAAGCACTCAGCCCTGATGAAACAATGGGAATGTAAACCATTTTTTAATGGTTGTAGTAGTTTCCAAGGGCTGGGAACACAGCAAAGCACCACAAACCGGATGGCTTAAATCAACAGGAATGCATTGTTTTACAGTTCTGGAAGTTGCAAGTCTGAGACGAAAGTGTTACAGCACAAACTGATAGCTCTAAGGCAGAATCTGCTATATACATCTGTCCTAGCTTCTGGTGGTTGCCAACAGTCTGGCTTTCGTTGGCTTGTGGTAGCATAACTCTAATCTTTGCCTCTGTTTTCACATGGCATTCTTTCCTTTGTGTCTGTGTATCTCTGTGTCTTCACATGGTATTTCTTCTCTGTGTTCAAATTTCCCTCATTTTATAAGGACACCAGCCACTGGATTAGAACACACGCTGATCCAGTATGACCTCATTTTAACTTGACTACATCTGCAAAGACCCTATTTCTAAATAAGGTCACGTTCACAGAGAATGTGAATCCTTTATCCTCCCAGGGGACACAATTGAAACCCACAGCAGTGGTTATGAAATTTTATATTACCAGTATGGAGAAGAATTAGGTTTTATCTAGTGAAGTAGAATTTGGTCATGCCTTAGGACTCGATAAGTATATTTAGATCCTTGCTACTCTAATCTATAAAGCAGCAATATCAGTGTCATCTGGGAGCTTAGTAGAGATGCAGAGTCTTGGGCTGCACCCCAGACTTACTGTGTGGAAATCTGCATTTCAAACAAGATCCCCATGTAATTTATTTGAAAAGTGCTAATCTAGTCTACTCTAAGATACATGGATGCAAAAAGATATACACGAGAATGTGCATAGAAGTGTTATTTATAAGAGCAAAATCTAACCAGAGACTGGATAATTAATTGTGGCGCTATTCATACAATTTAAATCCACAGAACAGTGACAATAAATGAACTAGAGATGCTTGTATCAACACAGACAAATTTCATAAGGATAATGTTGAGCAAAAAAGAAAAGTTGCAAAAGACTGTATATAGAATGATACCATTTCTAAATTGCTTAGTGAAACATACATATGATATAAAAGTACGAAGACATTCATGAGAATAATAAACACTAGATTCAAGAGTAAACAGGAACTTCAGTTGAATCAATGCTATTTTTAAAAGCTTTTCTTAAGCACACAGTCATTTATTATATTATTCTTTATATTTTTAGTAAATCCTATATAATATGTAATAAAATGTAAAAAATTAAGGAAACAATTCAAGGCTAGTACATTGCAGAGTAGTTATCTGAATCTAGAACTGTAGCCGTGAGTGGCTATATTCAACCAACACATACATTACTGCTTCAATACACCAAATGACACAGTTTTAGACCAGTGTTTTATAATCACAATTATTGCATTTATATAATAGCATGCTGTATAGAAACATTAAAATACTCTGTAATATTAAGCACCGATTTAAGTTTTGCAACAAAAATGTCACTTGCCAAAGAAAATAAAAATGTGGGCATTTCCACCTGTTGTTAAGTTAAACAGAGTAACTGCATTTTGTTTCAAAAATTGTTAGACTGAATTTAATTTCCAGCTATCTTTAGATTAATAGGAAATTTTGAACTAGCATTCCAAACATTTTTCTCATCCCAGCTATGCTCTTACTCTTTCAAAAGTGAACAATAAAAGTATTGACAGAAGGACAGCATTGTAAAAGTACATGTATTAATGTTTGTCACTATAGATCTGTTAATTTCTCACAATAAAAATACTCTCTTTGGGTTTTTACTGAATTTTTAAACATTTTATTAGGACCTAATAATTTCAAATACTTATTTTATGCTTTTGAACAAATGGATGAACTTCCAGGGAAAGAGTAGAGTCCTTTTCAATACTGATCATTGAACTTTCATTGGCATGTTCTTTTATTCCCTTCACTAACTTCTGATTATGTAAAGAAGTCTCTGAATGCAGCAAACACATCTTGTTTTCTGCTTGTCTTTTACTCAGAATTTCCCAGAGAATTGGAAGCTTACCAAATACTTTAAAGAATGGGGAGAATGTAACATTCCACATGCAAATTGCTTTCCTAATAAATCCTTGCCTGAAAGAGACTTTTTTTTCAATCTTCACTCTCTAAGGCCACCCAGCTCTCTTTTTCCACACTTTAGAGCAATTATCAGTAGACAGAGAATTAATATTTTTACTTTACATCAGTATTATTGGTATTATTATTTAATCTTTATTGTGTGTTTATTATGAGCCAGTGAAATGTATTAAATGGTTTAATCTTCACAAGTCTATTATTATACTAGTTTCATTACTGAGGAAATAAGAGGGTTAATTAATTTGTTCAAGTCGCATGCATAGAAAATACATGTTATACGTTTTTTTCACTCTTTATGTACTGTGCTTTTAGTATGTGTACTCAATGCACTAAGTCAACCTGACAATTCTCAAAAGCGGAGATTGACGCTTCCACTGTTTGTGTTTTATCATTGAAAACCCAGTGCAATTCCAGGCCTGCAAGTGCCTGACAGGGAGCAAAAGCAGTGACGAAATGATATTATTAGAGGAAGGTATATAGTGAGGATTAGATAAGAAAAAAGCAAAACACAACAAAAAAGTCAAGAAAACACAATACAAAAACAACCCATGCTGTTTTAAAGAAAAATTATTTTCTTGGCATTTTTGTTGCATTTTTTGAATCTTTTCACTGATAATCGGAAGACCACATTTCCCAAATTATCTAAGGAAAAGTTTTGTATAAGTTGTTTCTCCTAGTCATTTCCAATCAAAATTCACAGTTCTGAAAAAATTCACACAATTGCCCTACTGCTATAGTATTTGGGGATTGGGAAGAATTAAATTTAGAATAATGTTTTTAACCTAACAAAATAATTGATTCTAGTTTTAATTACATGAAAAAAAGTAAAAAACTTTTTTTTCATTAGGAGCTTTTAGAAACGAGTTTTATAATCTCATAAGCAAATATTCAACTCTTTACTATATAGATTCTTTCTTCAGTAATAAAGACAAATCAACCATAGTTTGGAGATAATGGACAAACATCAATTACCGAGAAACTCCAACTACCAGCCTTCAGTAATGATAGGGCTTCAAGGTTCACAGCAAAACTTCAGCTTAAATCTTTTTAGTTTGTGTCCCTGGTCAAGGAATTACATTGAAATGCTGGGTGTGTATCAAATTTCCTGTGAAAATGTTAAAAATATTTATCTTTTAAAAACGATTTTAGAGAAATTTCACATGATGGATGATGTATCATACCCTAAATTCATAACCTGACAAGTTTATGCTGGCATCTAGTAAATTCAAAAAGAAATAAAGGCAGAATGACTAGAATTTTTCTTTCCAAATGATATCATCAATAATATCCGTTGCAAAGCTTGCTTTTCTTTAGGTTAACTTTAGAGGCCTTGAAGAATAAGAGCTCATCTCTTTATGCAGGAGCTTCGGTTTGCAGCATTTACTTAAGAAATATTTAGTATTCTGTATCTTTAAGAGTTAAACATAGAAGAATCGGCTAAGTGAAAATAAAGAAATGCATTATCATTCTGTATATATCATTATGTATCACAGTATTGTTAGTTTAAAAAAGTTAAACATAAATATTAGTCACTTGCAGACTATGGAACCATAGTCAGTGCTATATACTTTCATACTTCTATTTCCCTCCTAGTATTCGTAAGTGTGCCTTAAAAACTTTTAAAGTATAAGAAATAAAATGTTTGATATATTACGTGTATTATTTCTAAGAAAAAACTTGAATTACTTTGGATTTTTATAAACTTTGGTAAATTCTGCATCATAGCATATTAAAGCAGAATAACAAATGCTAGACCTCAAGAATATTAATCCCAGATTTTACAGCATTTTAACTTTATGAGAAAAAATAAATTTGTCAGTTATTAAACTATTTGGGATCCAACAGATGAAAGCAGAATTCTAACATATTTATTGATTTATTTGTGATTTACATATTTACATGTGTGTTTGACACAATTCTTAATTATGTTCTTGATATGCATATATTTGCTTCTTAAATTTTAAGTTTCCTATATTTTACTTTGTTTATAGTCTCAACTATAATTGCAAAGTTTAATTTTAGAGGATTCAGCTTTTAAATGTTTTCCCGTTATAATTTTTGGACCTCCAGCTGTACCGTAACTGTAAATATAGTTCTGTATTTGTCAAGAGACTTTAGAAGTGGAAATAGATACCTTCACGAATCTTAAAAAGACTTCTTCAGAGTCTGTAAACAGCATGACCATGTATACTTATCTCTTTCTTTTCAGTGCAATGAATCATCAAAATGGCAGGCTCATTGTGGTGGCATGCTGAAATGATTGAGTGGGAACTGTGCCCAGAACTGAACTGTAAAAAAAAAAACAAACAAAAAAAACAACAAAAAAAACCTTATCCAAACACACTGTCCTGTACTGTAATGCATTGGCCCAACTAGATTCTTTTGGATGCTTTGGTGATTGCTCTTTTGTTTGGGCTTGGAGAATTCAGAGCTATGGAATTCAGAGCTCAGATTTGAACACAATATTAAGATTATTGCAATCTGAAGTGAATCTGTGCATGTTATCCAGAGCCAGAGACTGCATTCTGCACTTTCCTTTCACCTCAGGCATGCAGTCAGGATGTATAAATGAAATGTTGTATGGTATGTTTACTGTAGTTGCTTAGAAGTCCCATTCTTTACCAATGCTCAAATGTGATTAAATTTTTTTCTTGTTAAAGGAAACAGCTTAGAACAAACCCATGTAAGTATCTTTATTTTCAATGATTTAACATTTCCAAATGTTAAAACCAACACAGGTGAAAGTGTTTGCCTAGCTTTATTAAAATGGCATTCCCAGTTAGAACTTGTGAATGACAGATACTTCAGGCTTTCGAAGGAAGCTAAAACATATAATAATATGTTTCAGAGCAATTCAGAGCAAAAGAGGGCACTAAAACCAATTTTTAAAGAAAATAGGGAGGAGACAAAACTCAATGCTACCTTTTCTTTTAATAACTGTCTTCCTCTTTCTAGAAGAAGTTGTACTTCCTCAATACTTGCTTTATTTCTAGACGGCACTCTAAAACATTTGCCAGAAGGTGGCGACATAAACCCTTATTGCTTAGAGCTGTCCCAGGTGCTGAACCCAGTTTCTGAGATAGGAGAGGCTAGCCGGCTAGCGAACAGGGATTCCACCAAGTTTCCCCCAGAGGTTTGCAGGCTCTGGTAGGAAGTGCAAACGGCCATATAAAATGCCAGGCTTCACTTAAAACACATATGCAAAATATTTCCATCCCTGAATTTGCTAGCCACAAAGTGACAGTGTCACCGAAATTACAAGTGTAGTAGTGATGGAAAAGAGTGTGTGTGTGTTTAGAATATATATCACATTGAGTTTTGTTCTTCATTTCGAGGTGCAGTTGTTTACCTCTCCTTGTCCTTTGACACGTCCTTTATAATTTTGTTCTCTCCTAGTTCCCCAAGGTTAAAAAAAAGTCACAGGCAATATCCTCCCCGAAGGAATCCGGTCTGACTGTTAGATGATAACGGAGGTAGCGTTTTTGTTGTTTGTTTGTTTGTTTGTTTGTTTGTTTGTTTTGAGACGGAGTCTCGCTCTGTCGCCCAGGCTGGAGTGCAGTGGCGCGAGAACGGAGGGAGGTAACTTTTTAAAAACGAGACACACTCCGCCTTCTTCCTTCAATTAGCAATTATTGGGAGACTGACCCAGGACTGTTCACCTTCCCATTCAGGCTCCCTGTGCTTCCTTTACTCATCTCCTGTTGCCACTCAGGGATGCTGACACGATTTAAGAATTTGACAGATAATATGAGGCAATGAGTAGTCGGAATTCCCTCCCCCCGAATACCCCCTCCCCAGTCTGACTGGGTTGGAGGAGGAGTTTATCTGTTACAACCTTGGTCTGACCGACAGGGATCCGGTGTGTGTAAGTGAGTTCTGAGTCTCTGTTGACAAAAAGGGACTGGAAGGCAAAGACGCTGAGCTTGAGGGAGAGGAGGGCGGGGACCCAGAGGAAAGAGGCACTCCTCGGGGTTGGGGAAATATTAGGAGGGGAGGGTTAGAATGGGAGGGAGGGAGCCTGGCTTTCGAAGCGACTCGCAGAGGGATAAATAAAGGGAAGTGAGGAGGAAAAGCGAGACTGAAAGGGAAGGCAAGTGGGGAGAAGGGGGTCGAAAGAGGCAGAAGAGAAAGAGAGAAGAGAGAGGAGGAGAGAGGGGGAGAGAAGGAAGGAAGGAAACAGGGAGAGGAGGGTCACAGAGTGACCGTGGAGGATGGGGCTTCTCAGTTCTAGATATTTCTGGGATTGGAGACTGTTTGCTAGAGGGGAGACTCCAGCTCCTCTGGCAGCCAGTTTGGGAGCGGCAAAGTAAAATGGACAGCGACAGACAGACGTTCCAGCCACCTCTCCGCCGCCCGGAGATCCTGGAGCTGCTTTCAGGCCAACTCCAGTTTCCCAGCTGGAGCCTCTGAACGCGCTGGACTGCGCGAGCCGGGGAAGCGCCTGAAAGCTGCTCCTCAGAGATACCTTCGCCGAAGCAGTAAGAACTTCCTGCTTGGGTGCCTGCATTCCCTTCCTCCGAAACTTCCCAGGAGAAGTGGGGGGAAGACCCCAGGGGAAGGGGCGAGGCGGATTTCGCGCTGCTTTTTCTTCCCTCCCCGTTCCCGCGCCGGGCGCGCAGGCATGGATGTGCTCAGCCCTGGTCAGGGCAACAACACCACATCACCACCGGCTCCCTTTGAGACCGGCGGCAACACTACTGGTATCTCCGACGTGACCTTCAGCTACCAAGTGATCACCTCTCTGCTGCTGGGCACGCTCATCTTCTGCGCGGTGCTGGGCAATGCGTGCGTGGTGGCTGCCATCGCCTTGGAGCGCTCCCTGCAGAACGTGGCCAATTATCTTATTGGCTCTTTGGCGGTCACCGACCTCATGGTGTCGGTGTTAGTGCTGCCCATGGCCGCACTGTATCAGGTGCTCAACAAGTGGACACTGGGCCAGGTCACCTGCGACCTGTTCATCGCCCTGGACGTGCTGTGCTGCACCTCATCCATCCTGCATCTGTGCGCCATCGCGCTGGACAGGTACTGGGCCATCACGGACCCCATCGACTACGTGAACAAGAGGACGCCCCGGCGCGCCGCTGCGCTCATCTCACTCACTTGGCTTATTGGCTTCCTCATCTCTATCCCGCCCATGCTGGGCTGGCGCACCCCGGAAGACCGCTCGGACCCCGACGCATGCACCATTAGCAAGGACCACGGCTACACTATTTACTCCACTTTCGGAGCTTTCTACATCCCGCTGCTGCTCATGCTGGTTCTCTATGGGCGCATATTCCGAGCTGCGCGCTTCCGCATCCGCAAGACGGTCAAAAAGGTGGAGAAGACCGGAGCCGACACCCGTCATGGAGCATCTCCCACCCCGCAGCCCAAGAAGAGCGTGAATGGAGAGTCGGGGGGCAGGAACTGGAGGCTGGGCGTGGAGAGCAAGGCAGGGGGTGCTCTGTGCGCCAATGGCGCGGTGAGGCAAGGCGACGATGGCGCCGCCCTAGAGGTGATCGAGGTGCACCGAGTGGGCAGCTCCAAAGAGCACTTGCCTCTGCCCAGCGAGGCTGGTTCTACCCCTTGTGCCTCCGCCTCTTTCGAGAGGAAAAATGAGCGCAACGCCGATGCCAAGCGCAAGATGGCCCTGGCCCGAGAGAGGAAGACAGTGAAGACGCTGGGCATCATCATGGGCACCTTCATCCTCTGCTGGCTGCCCTTCTTCATCGTGGCTCTTGTTCTGCCCTTCTGCGAGAGCAGCTGCCACATGCCAACGCTGTTGGGCGCCATAATCAATTGGCTGGGTTACTCCAACTCTCTGCTTAATCCGGTCATTTACGCATACTTCAACAAGGACTTTCAAAACGCGTTTAAGAAGATCATTAAGTGTAAGTTCTGCCGCCAGTGATGACGGAGGAGTAGCCGGCCAGTCGGGGCTACAGGATCTGCTCCATTCACTATGCTTCCCCCAACCCTAGGGAATCAACACTTAAGATAATTTGCCACTTCTTCTCTGTCTCTCTGCTCCGCCCGCGGCTTGCGGACCTGGTCCCCTCCCCACTTCCCGCTCCAGCGCAGGGCGCTTTGTGCAAAGGAGACCCAGCGGTGGGGCGTGAGAGCCCAGAAAATTCAGAGTTTGTGAGAAGCGACATTGGCTCAGACTTTGCCTTTAGCATCAGTTTTGATCCCAGCAATTGCCTCTTCTCTCTTCTATCCCCTAAATCTTTGCGGTAGATGTTTAATCCTTAGTTGTTCAAGGCAGAAGATCCAAAAACTAAAAAATAAATAAACTGTACACACAGCCGCCGCGCCCACTAAGGAGCTCCACCCTATCACCCAACTTCTAGAACTTGGACTTCAGGTTCGGGAATTTGCTCCATCTCTCCCGCCCTCTGGCCCTTGAAATATTCACCTTTTCCTCCCTATTTTTATCTTTTATTTTCTTTCATTGCTTCCCTCTCTGCCCTCGCCCATCCTTATGCACGAATCTGCTGGTCCAGAGAGGCGGAAGAGGCTGCTTTTCCCCGTGCTCGCGGTGCCCCCGGGATTCCCTGTCTTCGCGCAGACTTGAGATTAACTCTCTCGTGCAGTGCACAACCCCTGCTTCCTTTGTTTCCTTGGACTCAAAACAAGTGGCTAGAAGGTGTCTTTTAGAGTGGACTTGTAAGTACAAGGCCGGGCCAGTGGGGGAAAGTGAGGAGGAGGAGGGTGTGCAGACCACTTTGTCTATGCTTGTCTTGGTGTCAGCACTCACCAAAGAAGCTGACAATCATACAGTGGAGAGAACGGACGCTGTTTGCACAGGTAGCTGGCGAATGTGTACGTCCTGGCATCGCCACTTACTTACTGCGGGAGGCGCCAGCCGGCCGCTGTTTGCGCTCTGGGGAGGCTGAGAGGCCTGGAATCCGCGCGCCTCCCCAGCCATCTGTGCTCTGGCAGGGCGGTAGGCGCTCCTGGCTGCTGATTGACTTACCGGATCTGGGTTACTCCGCCTACGCTCTGGGGCGCCCTGAAATGCGGGTAGACACCTGAGGTTTTTGCCATAGCCGGCGGCGCAAGGTCCCGCGGAACTCTTGGGATTGGAGAGACCAAGAAGGCTTTAAAGGGGCGACATGCTGGGGCGGCAAAGAGGAAAGGTTCTCCAGGGCGCGCGTTCCCGAGGCTCCAGCTGGCTGCCCCAGTAAAACCTGAAAGAGCTATTTTATCCTTACGATGTAGACTTTTTCCTCCTAATTCACGCTCTTGTCCTTTTTGGATCGGGGAATAATTCTGCTGAGCGTGTCCCATCACTCACTGCATTTGCTTTACAGTACATCCAAGACACAAAGTTAGCAGAACTTAGTTTTCCAAATAGGAATTCTGGGCTTTCAGTGGAATGCCCAGATAGTCCATAGGTTAGCACTATCTGTGACAGCAGGCAGATAGTTTAAATAGCAGGGTCCTAAAGGACTAGTTAGGAGGTGGTCTTCCTGGGGAAGCTAAGAATCTTTTATGGGATTATTTGCTCCCTGGCGTGGCCATTCTGCTGTGCCAACGGTCTACGGAAACCACCTTTTTGCCCTTTGAATTGTGCAGCACTCCAGGCTTTCTCTCCTTCAGTTATTCTTGAAGCCTTGCCACTCTTGCCGAGAAACTGGTTAAAATCTTTGCTGCCACAGAAAGGGAAGTTATTTAGGTACTCTCTTTGGATGTAAATTTCCAACTACGTGATGGAGATCTAGAGGGTTGTCATTGTTTGATCTAGCTTCCAGTTTTGTTTTCCAGAAAATTCACAAAATAATTGACCCCTACTCCCCTCTCTCTTCAGCTGTACCTTTCGAATGTTTGCATTTGCTATTTTGAGAACCGTATTACATTTACACATTGCAAAAATTGCCAATGAAAAGTTCATTTGTTTACAATTAAGAAAGTGAAAGGACAGCTCTGTCACTTGAAGCCATTTTATTGTTTGTCAGACTGAACAAAACTTTCCTTTGGTGTCTGCTTCTGTATTCTAAACTGGAAGTAGACATCATATTCCAGCTAAGTAGGGAAAGTTTTAGAACTTTGGGAATAATTTGTCTATATATGTATAATGCTGAGAAGGGTCTGCAGTGAAGAAAGTAAGATAGACTTCTCCAGTACAACTATTACTCATTTGATAATTCAGTTTCATTTTTGCTTACATAATCTAAGTAGACCTATATCAGAAACCAAGTTTTTATGTATGTTATACTAAATTTTAGGAACAACGTCTATATTTTAAAAATCCAAACCCCAAATTTGCTCATCCAAATTATGTCTTGGCCAGCAAGTTTTACATTAGAAGTTTTGAGACTTCCATTTATTTATGTCTTTTACAGAATTGTATGACAATGACTTTTGGACATTTGTTCTTTCTGCTTTGGAATATTTATACAAGAATGGAGAAGGAACATTAAACTGGAGCATAATTGTCAAGGCAATAGAGAATTTAGAGAAATAAAATAGCTGCATATCTCTAAAGAGTGCCTGATGCTTTCTTTTTTCTTTAACGTATTTGTACTAAGGTAAAGTGTTGATGCATCAAAATTGCCTTCACTTTTCCTTATGACAATAACAGACTTTAATAATGGTAATGCTACAATTAACTGATATCAGTAACACATGCATCTTTATTTCAATCAAAATCTCTACTTGTATTTATTTGTGTAATTTTAAAATTAAAGTTAAAAATACAGTGATTAGAAGAAGATCCTTCTTTATAGGTCAGGGATCTGACTTAGGGAAATAAATGTACTTTTCAACAGTAAAACTCATTCTAGATGGGTGATTTCCTTAAAAAAATGTGCCTCTGGAAAAAGAAAGTCACGTATCATTTAGGCATAAAACCACACATTTTCCATGACTGGCACCTGCAGGTAACATTTACTTTCTAACATGGACAGAATGGAAGATATGTGGAGCAAAACTAGTCTCTGGGGAAAGCAGCAGGGGTCCAACCTGCCTTTTTAAAACAGCAGATGGTGCTGAGATCCCTCCTCTGTCTTCCCTGCAACATTCAGCTGGAAGAAAATAATCTCCACTGTTTCAAAAGGAACAGTTAATTGTTTGGGGTTTGTCAATTAAAAGCATAGGGGCATTTTATTTTCTGGCTGGGTCTTCTTCCATAGTAGTGTTCTGTATATAAGACGTATTACTATGTTAAAATTAATTATTATGCTTTATTATTTCCCTACTTGAGTAGTCAGGAACACCTCTTGTTTCTGTTGTTATATTTGTTCATTCTACTGCTTTCTGGTGTCAGAATGATGGCTGCAGGGCAAAGTGAGCATGGGTAAACCTCAAGTAAACAAAGGTCAGGGTTATTACTGCCAGGGCAGCGAGCACTCTGAGGCTCATGGAACCTGGTTCAGGTGATGTATGTACATACACATATTATCCCAATGGCGAAAATCAAAATCAGGGTGCTAGTGGTGGCTCTTACCTGTAACCCAACACTTTTTGAGGCCTAGGGGAAGCAGGAGGATCGCTTGAGGCCAGGAGTTCAAGGTTACGGTGAGCTATGATCACGCCACTACACTCCAGCTTGGGTGACAGAGCAAGACTCTATATCCAAAAAAGAAAAAAAGAGTAAAATTAGAAGAATTGATGGAATAAGAACTATCTGAAGTTTGTAATTTTAAACACATTACATAAATGTGTTCCTGACGTTGAGTAAAATGCTGAAGTGGACATATTTGTCAGTTGAATTTTGACTCTTAACTGTTCCCCACTTTTGCTCCCTCCTCTGGCATCTCTTTGTCCAGGGACAATGGCTTTCTGTTTTCTACAGGCCTTCCTGTGGCCTCTATCAACACCTCAACTAAGAGAAGGAATTGTTAGTTAACAGCCACTTCCGGTGTGACTAAGAAGCACCACTAACCGATTTTCAGTGATCTTGTGTCAGCTACTGCTTGATAATATTGAAATATAAAACTACCAATTAATACAAGATGCTGTTGTTACCTTAAAGTAGTTTTCAACCAATTTGAATATATAAAAATAAACTGATAAGGTCAAGTAACTACTCATGACAGGGACAAAGTGTCATGTAAACAGGGTGAATCACAAGAGTTTGGCTCTATAAGAATTCAGAGGACAAAGATCACTGTGGGCTCATAGTGGGAAGGGAAGAGTGGGTAGAGAACACTGTATATTGTATGTAGGATTGAGCTCTGGGCCGATGGGGGGGTGATACGAAAAGGCAGACATTCCTTATGAGGTGACAGAAATACCCTGATCCCTTCTTCCTGGCAAGTGGGGGCCTAGAATGAAATTTCTGTCTGACTGCTGGATGTTGATTAATTGCCTGGGTTTATTATGCAAATGGTGATCCTTGAGAAAGATGCAGACTCAAAACCTCCCATGTGTTGTATTAACTGGAAATGGTCTGGGAAGAGAGAGGAAAAGATGGGTCCAAAGCCAAAGGAATGGCTAGATGAGAGGAAGAATGTTTTGAGCAGAGTAAGGAGGAGAGCATAAGAATGAGGAGAGAATCATTAACCATTAAGAAGTTGCAATAGGGTGGCCAGGGGTATGTACAGGACAAAAAATTCAAACTTATGTAATGTTTGTAATTTTGCCACATGGTTTTTACACATAATGTGCCACTTAAATTTGAAGTAGCAGATCCGGTTAGAAATACCAATTAGAACATTTTAGCTAGAGCAGAAGGTTCACAGAGTAGTGATAAGTACAGAAAGAGGTGCTAGAGATTTGTATGTGGAGGTACTTATGCCAGGTTAAAAAGCTGAAACTGTGGTTTTAGCCAGTGGAGACCACTAATAACTAAAGCAGACGTGTTCTCTTTGGAGGTGATTTCAATGAGGCAGGTGTGAAACAATAAAGGCCTGAACGTGGGAAGCTGGCAGAAGGAATGGAAAACAAGTAAGATGATGAAAAATACATCAAAGAAGGAACTGGCAGGACTTGGTGTCTGGATGTGAAGAGAGAGGCAGTAGAAGATGCTGATGAGGTTTTGAGCCAGGGATATTTGGGCAAATGACAGAAAGGGAAAGTCAGGGATTTTTTTTCCTGTGGGTCTTTCCTTTTGCAGCTTCATCTGTAAATGTGAAAAGGCTTTGTCTTCTGCTAAAAGAATTCCCAATCCAGATGGCAGGGGCCTGCTGGAAAAGGTATTAATACATATCACAGCATTAGAACAATCTGCCATTTGGATGAGTAAATGAGGAATGCTACTACATAGAGTAATGATTGGAATCATTCCCTGATTAATATTAATTTCTTTTTCAGTAGGGGATGTTAATTGTTTTTTGAAGAGGGTAGAATTCCAAGAGAGAACAGCCTTTCAGGAAGAGCAACCCCCAAAATACTATGTTAAGTAGTGTATTAAGAATGGTACATCTATCTAGTTAAGTAAGTGGAGAGCAGAGGAAATCAATTTTGCTCTTTGAGTT